ATTCATAATCGATGGTGACACCATACCTGGAAAAAGTAACACATTGGATCTAGAGTTCAGACTCTTGAAAACATTGACAAGAAAAAGGACTCTTGATTCAATCAGATTTAAGCTTAAATCAAAAGAAAATCCGCTCAAATTAAGAGGCTTGGTTCTTGATTTAGGTTTAAATCTGATTGAATCAAGAGTATTTTTTCTTGTCGATGTTTTTAAGAGTCTGGACTCTAGATCCAATGTGTTTTTTTTCCCAGTGCATTCCTGGTATCCTAAAATCACCTCTGGCAAATTTGGACTACATATTGCAATTTGGAACTGTAAATTCTAGCCCGGTTTGAAAACAACGTATGTGCCATTAGTTTCTCCATGCACATAAGTGTGTTCCCACAAGATCCAGAATTTATAGTTCCAAATTGCAAAATGCAACCTATTTAAGGGTCAGTATTTTGGGCAGGGGTGGAGGCCGACGTTCGACTTCTTGGTTCTGATTTGTGATTCCATCTCCCGTACTTTCCGCTTTAATCAAATTTGTCAAAAATATTTCAAAATTTTGCCGAGAGTTGCAACTTTTAAAATCAGGACCTCCCGTTTACTTACTCAAACTCAGCTTGAGAAGTGGAGGGGGGGGGGCGGCGGCTTAAGAACCATTAAATTTGGATTATTAGAGGTCGATTCCTAATCCGTTGCCGCGGTCCCTGAATTCGCCCGACCCGAAAAAAAAACCAAGAATATGCGTGGCACGGATGGTCTGGTTCACCCTGTACATTCCGGAAAAAATAAGAACCTACGCAACTGGCGTACATGGGAAACATTGCGTAGCGAGGAAATACCTCAATAGAACATGAGGGTACGTTTGAAAGCCAGCTGTGGAAAATTACACGTGATGAGTTCTACACGGAGAAAAAAACTTCGTGCGTGAGACCCGGAGCTGAGGTCATATGGATCTCTGAAGTTTTCGGATGACGTATCTAAAAACTAGAGGTCCAGCTGCCGAAGTTGCGGTCAGACATCTGAAGTACTTCGATATATACCGAAGGGTTCGGGTCACACATCTGAAGTACTACGTTACATACCGAGGTGCATCGATGTCTGACCCGAACTTCGGCAGCTCGACCTCTAATTTTCGGATGCGTGATCCGAAAACTTCAGAGATCCATATGACCTCAACTTCGGGTCCCATGCACGAAATTTTTTTCTCCGTGCAAAGAAAACTTTCAAAAAGCATTAAAGGATTTCACCTTTCAACTTTTCACTTTTTCATTCATTCCACCTTTTATTCCAGTCCGGCGTTGCCAGATTGCACGATAATGTGAATATTTTACACGGGTTTGAAAGAAGAAAATAAGTACTGGGAAAGCAACATATCTGGCAACAGTGGAGTCTGGAAAGGACGAGAGGCTTCTTTCCAGGGAAACCCATGACTTATCCGGAAATGTCATTAAAACAAATTGGTTCCGTTTGAAGCATCGAATGTATTCTAGGAAAGCTATTTTAAAATAGTAATTGTAAATGTACACATATACTACAAAAAAGCTTTTCCAATTGATTGTACATTTTTATTACATAACAAAAATTAAGTGTAAAAAGACCTTATGGGTCTGATCACGTCACTGTATCATACTTATCATGTATGTTACTGAATAATAATAATAATAAAAAAAAAAAAAAAAAAAAAAAAAAAAAAAATTATTTTCAAGGTAAGTCATAATTTTAGAATTTTTTTGAACATAAATGAAACAAAGTAATTATCATGCTACTTATAATTCAAAGCTACACGAAGAGGAAGAACCTGGCTGGCTGAGGAGGAATTCTCAAAAAAGAAAATAATTACTTTATTTAAATAGGTCCATTAATTGCAAACGGAAAAATAGTTTTTACTTTCAAACGCGCCAGTAGGGCTCGCTTTTTGAAATCACTCGGATGTACCATACTGCCATGCTAAGGAAGAACGCCGTATGCCGCGCTCTCGAATGTTCATTCGAGAGTTGCCAAATTTTCCCGGATAAAAAATGTATTTTTGTCGAAATTGATGCATATTTTTCCTTGAAATTCTCAGATATATTAGATTAAATCCCGAAAAAAATTGTCTGAAAATTGGAAGGAAAATATTTACCATTTTCCCGAGAAATTTGTAATTTATCAGAGAAAATTTGGCAACGCCTGAAGGTTTATACGGTGTTCTTCCTTTACACGGCAGCATGGTATAGCACACCAATCAACCCATGCTATTCAACGGGTGGTCCAAATATTATTTTCCTCGAACCCACCTTTTTGTCTTTGAACCGTTACTTTGTTAAGCCGTGATGGTCATTAATCAAAAAACCAAATGAACTTTCCAAGGGAAACCCTCGAGAACATTTTTCCGTCAAAATTGTGTTATTTCATTTGACAGAAACCTTAAAAAAGCTTTTCTACGCTAGAACGACTCGAACCTAGAAGCTTTTTTCCCGCCGCAACTTTTTAGCCAGTGAGCGCCTTGCACTGCTGTCATTAGATGCGTACCGTACAACATTCTGAAATTCGAATTCATCACTGAAAAGGTGCTCTATAGCCTCTTTTAAGCGCTCAGCCGATAGGCGGCGCTTTTGTCATGGGAACGGAGTTCCCCATGATATTAGAATCGTTCCGTTGCTTTCGCAATGGGATTCCCTATACCTCTGCGACCTTGAGCGTTTCGCCCAGTCTCCGATTTTTGGTTGATTTTCCGATGTATCAAAAACCGTTGTATTTTTTAGCCAATCATGTCTCTACGTCAAGTTGTGTTGATTGCTAAAATTCGCTTTCAGCGAGTTTTTTTCCACCTTGAGATGTCGTGTCTGACTGGTAAATCTGCGCAGAACCACGAAGTTCCGTTTTTAGGCAAATTCTTTTTTTTGGGAGGTTCTGATTGGTTATTTTTCGCCATCAGTTTTCTGTTCGTTGGTGCAAAAGATCGCCTACCTCGTTGCTCTTGAGAAGCCGCCATTATCCCACCTCAAATTTGAAAAATAGAAGTAAAGAAATAATAACCATCGTACAAGGTGGAAAATTGCTCTGGAGGACTCGTTACGGATATATGAGCCAAAATCAGAACTCGATTGATGGATTTAATCCATGAATACAGAAATATTGCCTCAGCTTACTGCCGCGATCGCAAATGCATGCTGAGATGAACCTCGTGACACATGACAGCATAGGTAAACAATGTCTCACAGAGTAATGCGGTTGATCCGTTGTGTCTTATCACGCCAGTGGCCGAACCGTTGAAATCTCAAGGACGTCTTTTGTGAAGCCCCGCTCAGCGTCCGAGATCACTTAAGTGTTCTCTTTTTCTCCATGCATATCTGAGCAGCGAAATAGCTCAAATGGCTGCGTTACCGTTCTGCCTCTGGGAGAGTGACACTTTTTGTGCGAGCGGGGGTTCGAATCTCGCAGGGGACAGTTAATTTTTACTGGTTGTATTGAATGTTTTAGACCAATCATCTAACAATAATTAATACTTGGCAACTTAGGAAGCACATAGGTCCCTTATGATGCGTATTCGGGCATATGTGTAGAGTAAAAATATCATACGTAGGGTGTCCCAAAAGTACCGGGACTGGTTCTGTAACTTCAAAAGTAAGATAGATACAGACATGATTTTGGTCTCATTTTAAAGATCAACTCAATACCTATCGATTAAAACCAAGATCAGCTCAATCGAATAAAAATTGACCGAGTTATGACAATTTGAAATTAGTGAGGAAAGTTTACCCCTACGGTTTTTAGGAAGATTTTTCGCTTACCAGGATTCAAAAAGTTAATATTCGTATCCACTTTCCTCCGAATCTTCCATAACTTCCTTTTGCTTTTCAAAGTACCGTCCATCAAACCGGATGCACTTTTTCATGCGCTCTTGCCACTTATCCAACATTGTTTTCCTGAATTCTTCCTCTGGGATGGAGTTGAAGAAGTTTTGAATTGCATTCTGGATTTCGGTCTTCGATACGAATCTTCGTCCGCGAAGCTCCTTTTTAAGCGTAGGAAACATCCAAAAATCACATGGAGCCAAGTCAGGGCTATAAGGGGGATGAGGGATTGTTTCAACTCCATTTTTACTCATAAATTCACGTGTTAAGCTCGATGTGTGAGGCCGCGCATTGTCTTGATGGAGTATCCACGAAGCTTTCAAGTCCGACCGTTTCCGGGAAATGTGCATTCTCAACTCCTTTAGTACTTTGCAATAATACGCACTGTCAACTGTTGTGTTTGATGGTACAAAATGTTGATAAATGACACCTCGAAAATAAAAAAACACAATAAGCATCACTTTATCGGCCGACTTTTCGATTTACGGCGATGAAGAATCTTCCTTAAAAACCGTAGGCGTAAACTTTCCTCGCTGATTTCAAATTGCCATAACTCGGTCAATTTTTATCCGATTGAGCTGATCTTGGTTTTAATCGATAGGTATTGAGTTGATCTTTAAAATGAAATCAAGATCATGTCTGTATCTATCTTACTTTCGAAGTTACAGAACAAGTCCCGGTGCTTTTGGGACACCTTATGTACACTTTACGCCGAAAAAGCGAACCTGAAACTTAAATGCGTTAACTTCCGAAAACCATATATAATCCAACGAAAATAAATAATTGGTACATAACAGCTTTCTTGTATGCAAAGAAAATAATTAAAAATGTTAAAAAAGAGATGTCAACACAAAATTACATAGCCCCTTCAATTCAGAAGATACTACAAACGAACTGTACCTTAACATTTTCATATCCCAGAAGCTAACGTTCCCATGACGAATATTGCTATCGCTAGCGATTGCAAAATCCAACTTGTTTTTCTTTTGACAGCTGTCAAATATAATATTAATTTAGATATTAATTCAAATTCAGTTGGCTGAATAAGACATAGCACTGTTTTTTGTTTTTTTTCAACCTTTCTTTGACAGTTATTTTCCGATGAGTACCAGTATCTAGATCTAGGTTTATCTTGTCATCATTAGTATGCAATATAAATACTTTCAACGAATTTACCTGCATTGCGTCTTTGACCTTAGGGTTGCGATAGTTCAAATCTGGCTGAGAAATGCTGAATTGGTGTAAATAAAACTGTTGTCTCTTTTCGTTCCATTCCCACATAGAGTCTCCAAATACACTCAGCTGAAAATAGATGGTCAATTAGAAATCATTTAATTTTAAAATAATAGTGCTTTGTCCTTGAACAACGCCCCCCCTCACTCAAAAAAAGGCTTATTCTAAAAGTTCTCTCTCAAGAATCACCCACCAGGATTACGACAAACTCTGACAGCTGATTTTAAAAATCACCTTGTGTTTGTTTGTATACAATATACAATGAAATAAGTGCATATGTATCAGTGATGACTCTGAATCTCTGAAAAATCTCCTTCTTCAGCAGTGCAATTAACTTCGTTGCACTAGGACTGAGTGGGTGTTGACAGAACGCGAAACTTCCGTGTTTAGCCTTCAGACGATTACCAAATGTTTTATTAATAACATAAGAGGCAACTATGAAGAGTCAATAACTCATGATCTCATATACCTGCTCTTGTGTAATCTATTCTTATAAAAACCATCGTTCTTACGCTCAAAGCTCAAATTATACTCTAGAATAAAAAATTATAAGAGTAGAGCACGTAGCGCATACCGTTTGACGCACGAAACGCTTCGCGGGGTTACACCGCGATGTATTCAGGGGGCGCAGCCCCCTAATTCGAGAATATCATTTCGATTGTGTGAAATTTTAATGTTTATACTAAAAAACTAAACAAATAGTTAGATTAATCCTAACGTTATGCGTTTTGCTCATCTGAATAATCCAGTATTTAGAAGATACGTATACTGCAAGGAACTAAGCTCAGTAAATTTTGAGTTTCCCTTGAATATTTCTTCATAATTTTGAATTCAGCAAGGTAAAGACAGACTTACCCAATTGTTAGGTGGTAAAGGAAGTTGTGTTTCGGGATCTGAACCGTTTGGATTCGCCCAAACATAGAAATCGGTGTAAGGTTCTATTTTATTGATTGATTTTTCAAACCACTCACTTTCATCGCTGGTGTGGTTGGGGACAAAATCTACGATTATTTTCATTCCTGTTCAAAGAAGAGGACATTTCACACCTTAGTATCACCTTATCGTTAATAGACGAACCACAATGTTTTGAGTACTTCTTGATAGCAATGTGAGGGTGTGCCTGTGTGGGTTTTGTTTTTTTTAAAGGAATTTTTTCGGCAGCCCTGGTAGAAGTTGTATGTGCATGTAAAGGTCCACCCGTGTCTATCGAGAGGAAATTTTCAGGACAGTGATTTTTCCATAGTTGGCTCAACAAATTCGGCCTTGAATTTTCGACAGAAAACATTCAGTGGTGTCCATGTCCAGAATACTAACTGCTATCCATACATACATAAGAGTCGCTTTTATAGCGCTCTCTGGCGCTGTGCGACGTCTAGCCGCCGCAAAACTTAGTCCTCCTACAACCCATGCAAGGGTAGCGACAGGAGGTTTTAAAAAATTCCTAGCCATCCGCTTAAAAAATACGCATATTCACGCTAAAAAGTAAATTTTGGACTTTTTTGGTGTGCACATCGTGAATTTTGTGCCCTTATGTCTCGAGAAAGTTTAGTGACTAAGGTGTATCTCTTGCTTGCAACAGACCCATTGCATTTTAATTCGGAAATGTAAACCCTGATCATGTTGTATTCAAATTTTCTCACAAGACTACGTTCTCCTTACATTGAAAAAATCAAATTGCCATAACTTCTATCATGCAAATTAATTTGTTTTAATTAGGGTTAAATTTTGTAAATTTTGTAGTCTCCTAGTTATCAATGTATTTATAAAAATAAAAGGTTTTTGCACTTTTTTAGGCAAAATTTTTGTGAATTACGCTTCTAGCAGACAATATCAAGAATCTCTTTTTTCATTTGCTTACAAAAACTGCTTACTACCTTTATCTGTTCACAAAATCAAGGAGAAACTTGGGTACCTCGTGTATGAATGTCGTCAATCAATCTTTTCAATTCCTCCATTGTGCCAAACAGCGGGTCCACTGCCATAAAGTCGGATATATCGTAACCCATGTCCTTCATTGGGGATTTGAATAAAGTTTGAATCCATATCGTATCAAAACCGACTTTTTGAATGTAATCTAACTTCTCGTGCACTCCTGGAACGACAATTTTATTCATTGGTCAAAATCAAAATGATTAAACAACAGCCATCGATTTCTCTATAGAGGCGTTCAAACAGATCATATAAATTGCAGTTTCCGTCAAGAATTGTAATGATGTCGCCCAATTAGGAAGAAACGCGTTGAACCTATCCCCCCCCCCAAAAAAAAAAACTTGACATCCTTAAAACCCATGCCTTTTTCTTTAAAGAAAATACAAATTAAAAAGTCACGTTTATTTTCATAATTTTCTTGTTATAATTTACATATCAAGAAGTTTTAAATAATATGTGCATGCAGGAAATTATAGAGACATGCATGGGAAATTGAACTTTGCATTACTAACCAAAAAGGATTATCAGGTTACTGGATAGTAGTTTTGGTAATGTAGCATCGCGTCCATGATATTGGACTCCATGATCACCTATAATGTTCGGTTGCTTATCACGTCCAAGATCTTGGACTCCATGCTCACTTTAATGGGGGATAATATTTTAGAAAAATCGAATTGAGCATAGCGTCCAAAATTGTTGGATGCAGGTTTTCTCGGACAACACACGAGCATATGGTCAGAAAATTTATTAAGACATTTTTTGTGAAATAAAGACGTAAAAAAGTAATTTCGTAAAAAATTGTGCATTGGTTAGGTTAGGTTAGGTCGGGTTAGGTTAGGTTAGGTTAGGTTGGGTTCAAGTTAGATTAGATAAGAGAGGTATACAATTTTCGATCATGATGAACTTTAAAACTAAGAAAGGTCCACTTGCTATTGAACTCGATACTCAAGCAAAGAAGTGAGAAGTTTACCTATGAGTATGGAGTCTAAGATCTTGAACGAGATGAGCAGGCAAGTATACATATAGGGGTGAGCATGGAGTCCAATATCATGGACGGGATGCTACATAATCATTATTTAAAAGAAAAAGTCCTGAGAATAAGGGGAAATTAACCTTTAATGTCTCCTACTCCATCGCCATTGGTGTCCTTGAATGAGCGTGTATAAACTTGATACATCGACGCTGTTCTGTACCAGTCCTTTTCACGTGCCTCCAACATTTGGAAACGGTAAACGAATATTACCATCATCCAAATGGCCGCAAAATTTTTGATTGCAATAATTTTCCTCATTATTGTTGAATCATAAAAGTGATTAAAGTATTGAAACAAGAAAAACACCGTAATACAAACACGTGTGCGCAAATTACACGAACCAACCTTTGCAGTTATTTAAAACCCCTCCCTGACATTCATAGTTTCGAACGATTTAAAGGGGAAGAATGATGCTACAAGCATAAAGGGTTACTTAATTTTTGCAAGCTCGACTTCGTATGTAAAAAACTGATCAAGACTGGACGATAATCGAGAGTTGAACGAGGACTACTTAATTGGATATTTCGTGGGTGTAATCTTTCAATTGCTCTTAAGGGGCCGTCTATGCATTACGTCACCCAAGTAGGGGGAGGAGGGAGGGGTTAAGCCGAGGATGACGTAAGCTTCCCTGGATGCTAAAATCAGTTAATTGTATCATATTATTACTAAATTTTTACGATTTTTTAATAAATAATTCCAAAACCTCAACAAAACAAGGAAATTTGCATTTTTTGATTTTTCAGCCAATAACATATTCTTGCATTAATGGACCACTAGACAAGGTACGAATTTAAGCACTCTGATACATGTTTCTTAACCAGAATTTCACGTAGAACACGACTCGCGCAATGAAAATTACTGAAACCAACTCCTAACGAAGGTATTAACGTTTTTATTTCACATTGGTTACGAGTAATTTGAACTGCCCGCTCACAAGAAACTCAAAGCTCTGCGTGAGTCAAATCGCGCACCACAACGGTTTCGGCAATCTTCTCTATTGAGCAATGTTCATTTCCCATCATGTGTTGTTCAAACTATAAGCTATTTGCTATAGCTGAGCCAAAGCGTCAAGATTGAGGTTGCCAGATTTTTATATCGCAGAGATTGTCATGATACACGTTTAGCGCGCGATGTGATTCACGTAGAGCATTGAGTTTTCATGAGCGGGTGGTTTGAATTCACGCATCAAGAATCATTAAATATCTTTGTAAGGAGTTGATTTCAATAATTTCCGTTATGCGTATCGTGTTTTACGTGAAATTTTGGTTAAGAAACATGTATCAGAATGCTGAAATTCGTACCTTGTCTAGTGGTCCATTCTTTTCCTTTTTAAAAGAACACAACTCATATTTAACACTCAAGAAAATATATTACTTATACTTTCTTAACGCTGCAGACTATACCTACTGATTTTTATCGATTCTCTGCGTTTTCCTCAAAAAAGAGGAGGGGGAGGATATGCTAGTGATGATGTAATTTTTAAGGGGGGGGGGTTTGCAAAGGATGACGGTNGGGGGGGGGTCGAAAAATTGGAAAAAGTAGTTGACGTAATTTATGGACGGCCTCTAAAATCCTTTCTTTCATTTATATCCATTTCGTCGTTATTTAAGAATGGTCAATTTCACCAGAAACACTCGGCGCTTAAGTCTTTTTCCGACTTGGTAGAAACACGGCTACCACTGTCAACTTTTGAAATGTTATTCATGTAACAAGGCTGTTTCGGACATGCTTTGACAAAAATTTAAGGGAAATTATGTTTTTTTCACTTTACAGGTCACCCGAGATGTCTGTTTGGCTCCATGCCACCGTTAACGGCCAGACCTGATGGAAATATTTAAAACATTTGCATTCTTTATGGGCGAGGATCACCAAAAAAAATTCAATGAACTTGCACGTAGCATTGTCATAGAAACGTCACACACCAATATCTAAAACATTTCTATGAAAAATTTGGACCTAAAACGTCAAGTTACGGTAAAATTCCAGGTTTTCGTTGGTTCTCCCCTAATTTAACGGAACTCGTAATAATGTCATTGTAACTTTTAGTTTCCAATTCAAATCATATAGAAGTAGAGTGGTTTTATCATTCATCCGATTGTGAGATGATTCGGCGGTACAGAGTTAATTATGAACATTATTCCAGCCAAAACTTCACAAGAATAAAAAATTGGTGTAATCTTGACTCCTCATAGTACCACTTAAATAGGAAGAAAAAAAAAACAGATTTTCCTGTAAATTTTGAAGAATGATTACACATTTGTATAAAATTTTCCATCGTCTCAAGGAGCATATTTACTGATAATAAAGTTATTTTTATGGATTTGTCAGAGCATGATTTTGGGATAAGCTTACACGTATTCAGTGCTGAATAATTTGAAGTTATGACCAAAATAAGAGCCTCAAAACTGAAGACAGCGTATGTACTGTTTTCCGAGTGGATACCTCTTGGTCTCTAAGCGGATTATGCTATAATCGAATCGATAAAAGTGACATACTTCACGGGCCTTTTTCATAAATAAGGCGCTTTGGATCAACTCTCAACATCCAAACATTGGTCTTGAGTGCCAATTGAAAATTCATATTCAAGCTCATGCATAGTATAAATTATTCGCACAGTTTGCGAGCACCGGACAATGACGTCGCGTCGAGACATGAGAAGTTTATATAACAGGCTTTAAGAGTTTCACTATATAAAACCGTCTTACCAGGTCAAAAAGCGGGAAGTAGTGCGAAACATAATAGGCTGTTCAAGTGTTCCTCGTGTCACTTTTTCCTGAAACTTTTTTCAGGGGGCATATCATCAGGAATCAGTATTGTAGACATTGAGTCTGGAACGAATTGATGAGCATCAAAATACTCTAAAGGCAGAGTTTGAGCCATATTCATAGTCGCTTTTTAAACAGCCCTTTCCCTCAATGAAACCTCATACGATCTAGATGGCATTGTCGTTCCGTCGAACAATGGAATTCCAAGGCTTAAACTTAAAATTTGGATTTTCATGAAATGAATGAATGAATTTCTTAAAATAAACACCTGATTTTGACGTTCATCATTTCGATGGCGTCTGAAGAGCAACCTTTCACCATGTTTAATGCTAATTTGTTTATATTTTCCATTTTTAAATGTTGGGGCGAAAGTCTGAAAATTTAAATTTTCCGCTCCAAGTGTTCATTGCCGAGTTCGATATTTTACACCTCTGCTGAACTCGCAAAATACAAAATAAATCATGCCTTAAATATCATGAAAATCTCATTAGCTTGATTTAGCATCCAAGACTCCATTAGAGTCATCTGATGAACTTTCATTGTTCAAACTAACACAGCGGCAGCGCTTTAAACACCCCGGAGGTGTGATACATTCGAGGATGGCTGAACTTCTGCTATCTCTTTTTAAATTAGCACGGTACGGTTTTATAAGTATTATTAAGAAACTAAATAACGAAGTCTATTCATCTGCAGGATTTACAATACAAAATACAGTCCGTGACGAAGAACAATCAACTTAAATATTGAATCAGTAGTGACCTTTTTACAAGCTTACGAAAATTGAAACCGGGCCCTCAAGTCATTTTCCGCCAAAGAACTCAGTTTCTCGAGTCGCGGATAGGAACTTTCGCAAGGGCAAAAAATGAAAGCGAATGAATGAATGACCTGGAGATAAAAAAAAATATACCTTCAATATTTTTTTGCCGTGTATTGAAAGCTCCTTATCATGAGCCAATTAGTGATTCGGTTCTTTAATTTCATGCCGGATTCCGACTAACTTTAATCAGTGGGTCAAGTGCTGAATAGTTATCGATAGTACCGTTCGATAGCGAGTCAATAATTTTGGTTCAGTTTATGAGAATCCGATGCTCGTGCTTAAGGTGATTCGATGGACGCCATATTTTGTGTCAGAACGGCATGCGATATATCGCATCAATTGGTTCCATTTTTTTTAGCTACTCGTCATGTTTCTCGAATTTTGAGATCGCAATTCTGTTGTCAGGAGACTAAAGCACTCACTTACCAATTTTAACAAAGAAATTCAACGTAATAAAGGCGTGGTTTTTTTTTTAGAGAGAAAACATCGCATTCGATACTGATATCGAAACTACACTCGAATGCGATATTTTCTCTCTAAAAAAACCACGCCTTTAATAGGGTGGTTTCACGATAACTGGATTAGTTTTGTCGCCGTGACAGGCAACACATTTTTCGGTTATATTTTTAGTAGAAATGATAATCACTCGAATTTTTTGCTTTAATTGTCAAAGGGTTACATATTATAACGTTTTCTAATGATTTATTGCTCTACTTCTCAATGAATATCATGTAAATTCCGAAAATGTGCTGTCTGTTACGCTGTTACGCGGTAAAAAGTCAGCGTAACAGACAGCACATTTTCGGCCATTTATATATTAAAATTGAAAAGTGGAGCGATTAATCGTTGGAGAGCGTTATAACACGTAACCCTGTGTAGATGAACAAAAAAATTCGAGTGATTATCATTATTTCTAAAAATATGACCGAAAAATGTGTTGTCTGTTACGGCGACATAACTATTCCAGTTATCGTGAAACCACCCATTACGTTGAATTTCTTTGTTAAAATTGGTAAGTGAGTGCTTTAGTCTCCTGAAAACAGAATTGCGATCTCAAAATTCGAAAAAAAAATGACGAGTAGCTGAAAAAATGGAACCAATTGATGCGATAAATCGCATGCCGTTTTGACACAAAATATGGCGTCCATCAAATCACCTTAACTTAGAGACAGTATGAGAACGAGAAATTAAAAACGCCAGAGACACAAGATACAGTAAGTGACATCTATTTCTCTAGCAAATTTTTTCAGCGAATCGATACATTGGCAATGCTTTTTACTATCGATCAAGGTCTTTTGATATTGATTCAACAATCGATTGTATCCATGGAAATGATCACACGTTCTTGATCGGTCAAGGCAACTTGGACAGTGTCCATGAGGAAACTAACCAAACATTAATGTGCGAAACTTTTTAACGACGATTTTTTGTTACATTTGTTCCAATGCACGAGAGGGACGAATCGAAATTCTTAAAATTTTAGTGATGGTTAAGTTTGCCTCTGTTTTTTGCTTCAAAATTACTCTTTTGTAAGTACCTCTGCAAGTAGTTTTGTAGTCAAACACAAGCTCATTCCTTAGGATTTAGAATAATTTTAAATTTAGATCAATATTTGAGGTTAATTTTTTGGTTAACATTCTTAGCGACATTGTCAAATTATTCCCTGAAATTTCTTTTTCAAAATAAAAATGTAGATCAACATAAAGTAACGTACTTTTGAGCTGTATTAATTCACATGAAATTTATTGAAATCAGTCAACAAGGTCATATTAGTTGAGGAATTCAATGAAAGCATAAATGGTCACTTTCTCCCATTATGCGTAGTTTTTGCTACTCCTTGTTTTCTTGCATTTTCGTAGTAATACAGAACATCCTAAGAGATATGAAGAAAAAATTAACGTTATTACAGCTCAATTGCAAGAAAAAGTTCATTTCGATAGGTTTAAGTAGAAGAATTACACTAAAGTTGTAGTGTTACAAAATCTCGTCACCTTCCGGCCAGAGTATCACAAGCGAAATGCGACGTTTCGAAATTTCCGCGGCCATTTTATTTTTTTGCAGAGAAATTATTCAACGACGCTGTCTAAAAATTTCACTGAATTATTTTTTGTGCTGCCGATAAAATTCAGTGAAATTTTTAAGCATATTCAAACAATAATTTCTCTGTAAAAAAATTAAAATGGCTGCGGAAATTTAGAAACGTCTCATGGCGCTGGTGATTCTTTGGCCGGAGGGCCTTACCACATACATCATTTTTTTAAGGAAACCAGGCAACATTCCCACTCCAAAATTGTTGCAAATTTTTCTTGTCCGTACGAAGGTCATTGCACGCAAAAGAAAAGCGCACAGTGTCAGTCTTCCCGCGGTAATTGCTACACGCACAGGATACACCTATGCAAGGTGTTAATGGCTCAATTGTTAAAAGCACCAAATAAACGTATCTACCAACCAACCAACCAACCAACCATAGTTACCATAACGAGTGACTCGGTAACCTAGACGTGTAACATTGCCGAGCAGATCATCTGGAAAAAACAACCGCGGGAGGAGTGACGCAGTGCGCTTTTTTTTTGCGTGGGTCACATCATTCGAACGGAAATTTTCATGGGTTCCAAGTGACTGTTTTGCTCGAATTTAACAACGTATCATTAAAACAATTCTTGCGACGTTCATTTGCAGTCAAGTTCAACTTCCAGTGCACTGGAAAAAAAAAAAAACAAAAAAAAAAAACACATTGAATCTAGAGTCCAGACTCTTAAAAACATCGACTAGAAAAAATACTCTTGATTCAATCAGATTTAAGCTTGAATCAAGAACCAAGCCTCTTAATTTGAGCGGATTTCCTTTTGATTTAGGCTTAAATCTGATTGAATCAAGAGTCCTTTTTCTTGTCAATGTTTTCGAGAGTCTGGACTCTAGATCCATTGTGTTTTTTTTTTTTCCCAATGTGGCGTTGCGTGCGTTGCGATATGTCGATTGATCTGTTATTTAAACCTATGGAAAAAGATCGACAAACAGGGTGATCGCAGCAAACACCTCAATAATCGATTCTTTACCGTAGCTTTAAATGGGGAAGTATCGACAATCGATCATTCGCGCTTCGTCACTGTCAACTTCATTCACTTATAATTTCATTAGAATACTGCCGTGCTAAGGAGAACGCCGTATGAGCTTTCGAAGTTCGCCAAATTTCCTCTGGTAAAGTATTTATTTTTAAGGAAAGTTATGAATATTTTTCTATAAAATTTTCAGGAGCCTTAGCTGAAGTTTGGAGCAAAACTATCTGAAAAATTGGATGAAAAATTTCCATAGGTTTACCAGGAAATTCTTTTTTAATCAAAGGAAATTTGAAAACGCCGGAGGGTTTATACGACGTTTTTCCTAGCAGAATGGGAGCCTCAATGGACCACTAGACAAGGTACGAATTTCAGCATTCTGATACATGTTTCTCAACCAAAATTTCACGTAGAACACGATACGCACAACGAAAATTACCAAAATCAACTCCTGACGAAGATATTTAATGATTCTTAATGCGTGAATTCAAACCACCCGCTCATGAAAACTCAATGCTCTACGTGATTCACATCGCGCGCTAAATGTTTATCATGGCAGTCTCTGCGATGTAAAAATCTTCAACTTCAATCTTGACACTTTGGCTCAGCTATAGCAAATTACCAATAGTTTGAACAACACATGGTGGAAAATGAACATTGCTCGATTGAGAAGCTTGCTGAAACCGTTGTAGTGCGCGATTTGACTCACGTAGAGCTTTGAGTTTCTTGTGAGCGGACAGTTCAAATTCCTCGTAATCAGTGCGAAATAAAAACGTTAATATCTTCGTTAGAAGTTGATTTCGGTAATTTTCGTAGTGTGAATCGTGTTCTACGTGAAATTCTGGTTAAGAAACATGTATCAGATTGCTTAAATTCGTACCTTGTCTAGTGGTCCATTGCTCAATTCCGGGGGGATACATTTCCAGCGAAGGAGTTTTTGCCTAAAAGAGTTGAAATATTAACTACTGAAAATTCACCGGAAAAAAACTCTCCCGAGTATTCTAAAAAAATGAGTCAATATCACTTTAATTTAATATTGTTGAAAGAGAGGGAGCAAAGTTGCATTTAAATGGAGTGATACTGCAGTGCCCTCGAAACGGTGTATTGTGATTTCACTCGGTTTTTTCTTAATACAACATTTTTTAAGCAGTCATACAGAAACCATTTTTGTCTCGGTGTGATTCAACATGTTTGGGAATTATCCTTTTACTCACAATTTTCCCCCGCGAGTACAAAATTAGCATTTTCCTCTTTTTCTGTTTCAGTGTCATCGGTTTTGCCAATAAAAATGTGCTTGCTGTCGAGTCACGCACCATTCCGAATGAAATTGCCCTTTACACAACAGGTTACTGTAAGTTCTCCGAAACACTTATATTTCAAATTGGATGCACATTTGGCATTCCGATGTGTATCTTTAACTGACGTTCTAAGGAAAGAGATTTATTGAGGTCAAAAATAACTTACAGTGCTGAAATTGTTTTGCACTGCTACATTCGACTTGCTTTTTCGATGCTACTCACTATCGAAAAAAATATTTATCGTTAAGAAAGTCTTTGCATACTTTTCTATTCGACTGGAAGTAATAAGAGGGGAACGAGTTGAACAAAAATGAGCGAGAATTAAAGTTTCGTTTAACTAACTACGCGGTTTACCTACGAAAAATTCAAATTCGAGAATATTCGTCTTTGTCAAACTCAGCTCATTTTGTCTCGAAACTACGCGGGTCTCCCGAAAGGTAAATTTCGGCACATTGCTCCTCTGCAAAAATTATAGTAACAGCAAAACTGTAAAAAGTTTTTCGTCGGTCATACTCTCAGCTTTAAAACGAGTTATAGTTTTTTTTTAAAATTTTGACGCAAGGATAACCGAGATATCCTATGTCCTCGCGCCGCGAGATTGATTCATCCACTGCCGCGGGCGGCCAGCGCGAATCGCGCATTGGCTCCTACAAACCCAAGTGGATACTTCAAGCATTGTGCAATGCGTGAAGTATCCACTTAGGTTTGTAGGCGCCAGTGAGCCTCTCGCGCGCTGGCAGCACGCCAAGCCGGGGCACTGTAAAGGTGACTTTTTAAGGCAACCTTACAACTATGACAACCTTTTAATGGGATGCCAAAGGAGTGTTACTGGTTGACTATTCGGATCGGGTTCAGCAGAAAAGGAACCATCCACACAAAATATTGCCAAATTTAACCAGGCAATTTATTTTTTTACATAAAGAGAGCATTTGTGCGGATCTCTGAAACGTTTGAGGAATTTGCCCCGCACCATGCAGGTAATTCACTGAAATCTGCACAAAAAAACCGCACAACCGTTCCCATGTTAAAAATTTTAATATCCCATTAAAGTTGACAAAAGTTGATGTGACTTGGTTCCTCTCTGCTAAACGCGGACCATTTATCACCCAGTGGCGTGCTTTGAGATATATCGATTGTTGGGCCATTTAAACCTATAGAAAAGGATCGGTAGTCAGGGTGTTCGCAGCGAACACCTTAGTAATCGATTCTTTACCATAGGTTTAAATGGCAGAACAATCGATTTATCGCAAATCAAGCCACGCCACTGTTTACCACATTGTCAGACAATAACTTAGAAAAGTATTGCATAGCCGCCCTTGAAAAGCTCAGAACTTGGATCAGAAGGAAACGTCCTGGGCTTCAAAGCCGAACAATTCCGCTCCTACATGACAAATCCGGTTCTCATACTAGGCAATAGTTCCTCAAGATTCGTTGGAAACTTTCAAATGGAAAATTATTCCACATCCACTTATTCTCTGAACTTGATTCAAGATGATTCTTACTATTTTCTCGACTCAAATCGGATCCCGGGGGACAACGCGTCGTTCTTGGTAGCGACGAAGAGGTGATGAAACAAAATCTGACCAGTGGCGTGGCGTGAATTGCGATATATCGATTGTTATGTCATTTAAAGTAACATTAGTAAAGAATCAATTATTACGGCGTTCGCTGCGAACACCCCTTTTATCGATCCTTTTCTATAAGTTTAAATGACATAACAATCGATATATCGCAATTCACGCCACGCCACTGAATCTGACTGTACAACCTACGATTTGAATTTTTGATTTTGAATGGAAATCACACTTCGAAACCTTCATTTTATCATCAAATTCGATATTTTGGAGTCCGCAACTTGGCAACGCTGCCGCGGGAGCAAAAAAATTTGTATGGGCATGAACATTTCAGAAATGTCACATCTCATACCAGGTGAAAACATACTAAAAATTCAGATCGGTCAAGGCAAGGATGAGGGAGAGGGGATTTAATATGTCGCCTTAAGGCCAATTTTGCTATTTTACCCCTAATAAACTACAAAAATGCGATTATTTTTCGAGGAACTCCGACAACCTATTTCGAAATTGCCCAAAAACCCACCAGGGAGTATCTCACTACAACCTCCAACTTGAATTTTTGATGTACATTCAAGTCGCATTAAAAGTGAGTTCAAGCGCACCGTGTGAGGGGATAAAAAACTGGTGTCAAGCCATAAAAAGCGGGGCAAAAAAGAGAAAGTGACGCAGAAAAGAGCGGAATTTTTGAGACACTGTGTCGATGGTGACGAGGAGGTGATGAAACGCATCAACTACTGTCGGTTGGAAAATTAGACGAAAGAGAGTTCTCTGCTAATGGGATTAAAAAAACTAATATCACGCAATGGAAATTGCGTGAAACATAAGGCAATTACGTAGATAAGTCAAACAAAGCACTTTTTTTTAAATTTCCGCTTTCCTGAATGCATTACGGAATGTCTGGAAATGAAATGCGCGAATGCGCAGAAACGCGCCTAGAAATCGGACCCGCGGTGAGAGGTGATAGGTGCAGAAAAAGTTGAATATCCAAGCGCCCCGTGGGTCAAAATTTAAAAAAAAAATATTGTTCACTTAAAACCTGAGAGTATGACTTATCCAATATTTTGTATGGTTTTGCTCTATCTACTGTATAACATACACGGAGAAGAAAATAGCGAAACCTACTTCTTGGGAGACTCTCGAAAATTGTTTCGATTCAATGTCAAGTTAAAGTCTCTAGAAAGTTGAATAAGTCCGTGAAGTCCAACATCATCCAAAGTGAATTGTTTAATCTTAAATTCTATTTCTTTGCATGTATAATATTTACTTAAGAGGCATTTAATTTCATGCACTTTTAACACTACTAATTCCTTACTTCATTTATTTTCGGACCGCTTTTTGGTCCTCAAATTATAAGATCCTAATGAATAATTTAAGGCTGAAATTTCAGGGAGAGCTGTCGGTCCAGTATACCGCAAGAACAACACCGACAAATTTCATAATACCTCCATCAGTTCAGGACAGAATCCTTTCAAAAATGACTCGCTTCGTAGTAAAAAAATCACAACTGAAAGCTCCAAAAGTAATAGTCGAACAGCAACTTTTGATCTGAAGCCAGTCGAGACCGTGCATAATTCAACCAACAAAAGTTCGATTGGAACAACATCACGATCGACTGAAATAATTGGTGTCAGTTTTGAAGGCACCGTGACTAATTCAATCGAAAGTACCATCGACACCAAGAATCAGACAGTTTCAGGCGAGATTAAAACTGATGGAAACTCAAATGCTAAAGCTGGTCCTAGCGATAACGGCCATGGTTTGGCTGCTTATACTGCAAGTTCGGACAATAATGGTCTCAATACAACCATAATTCCTAGCCTGGGCTTGACGAACATCAACGAAAGCTCTAAAAGTAAAAGCAATATCCGCTTATCTGAAGAAGTCAGAAGTCTAAGAAAGAAAACTGACGAGAATAGAATTGCTTCTATCGTAGCTGAGCCTAACAAAACTACTTTAAACGCTTTTGAGCAGGTTATCTCTCCCACAGCCTTTACGACATCCAAGTCAACCCAGGAGTCTAATTCTCACTTCAAGCCAACAGAATCACTCGACGTCATTTCAAAAACCAACGAACCTGACAGCAGTGTCACAACCCGTCCTCTTCACACATCGACTCCGCCGAATAAATCACCCTCTATCTGTAAATTAGAAGCATTAACTACGGCTTTAAATTCAACAACGACGCCCTCTATAACTAAGGAGCATGACCTCAGAAACAGCTCAAATTCTGTGTTTGAGAATGAGTCAACCGGCTCACAAAACCGCGAGACATCAACAACGATCGATGCCATCGAGACATCAGTTTTCGGCTGCGTCGCAACCAATGGGCCCCAAGCAAAAGCTCAGTTGTGGTACAAGATGCAACAGACGACTCCAATTTCGAAAGGTATTGAGGTGGGGTCGCCGGGGCAAACTTCTGTGCCGCACGGGATCCCGGTCTACATGAACGTGACTCAACTAAAACCGGTTGAAGGGGCTCCTACCGGGAAGAAACCGGATCTCCAAAGGCATGCGTCCGAGGGGGCGATTATGAAAATCGGACGCCGGTTGGACGATCCCGTTCACAAATTTTACGAAAAACCGACGGGAAAAATTACAATTACTCGGCCGGAAATCCAACAACAAAAAGGTGGACCACGGCCCGGGTTCTCTTATGCACCAACCATGAATGTGGATCATTTATCGACTTATAATCCAAACATTGATTCAGGAACCTACTCCAAACCGGTTACCGATCAGGAGGATGTTCTGGAGATCACAAGTCCGGACCGGTTCACACTCTCGACAAAGGACTTCACTCGGAATTCGAGCTATCGACAGGAAACAACGGTGAGTGAGGTGAGTGTCTACGATTCCGAAACGGACGACTATCTAAAAGACAACCAGGAAACGAAATCAGCTCAGAGGCTGGAGGAAGTAGCGGAAGAAAAACCGGTTGAGAAACCTGAAAGTCACAACGAGGAGCTACCGGCTGATAAGTTTGAAATTCAAGAGGGGTTCGGAAAACCTGGAAGTCAAGATACAAAATCTTTGGTCGGAGGGTCCGTTAGTTATAGCACTGAGGCGGTTACCGAACAATCCGGCGGGTATGAGGAAGAACCACCGGTCAGGAGACCCGTGAGTTACGAGGAAGAGCTTTTAGCTGAAGACCCTAGAACTGGCGAGGATGATTTTCCGGTTGAGAAGCCCGTAAGTAACACCAGCGCTCTTTCACGTGGAAAATCAGGAAAAGGTCCTTCCGACATGGCACCTGTCAGCTATGAGGACGAACCTCCGGTGAGAAAACCAAAGACTTACGATGAAGAACTTCCGGATCTTGCTTTTCACCACCTTGAACTACCCTTGGAAAACCTTGTAAATAAAAAAAATGAATCTCTGTTCAGGGGTTTAGTGAGAAACAACACACAATCTTCGCTCAGGAGACCCGAAAGTTACGGTAGTGAATCTTCCGGCATAAACCCTGGAAGTAACGATGGTGATCCTCCAAATGAAGCATCCGGAGGTCAAATTTCGGATGGAGGCCATGAGACAGGATTTCCGGTTGAAAAGTTCGAGCGTCACGAGAGCGGATATCCGGTTTTAAAAGCCGGAAGTTACGGCAGCGAGGCTCCGGTTGGAGGACCCGCGAGCTACGAGAGGAAAACCTCTCATCAAAAATCTGAAAGTCGAGGTAAAACAGCATCGCGTGGAAATTCTGGAGGCAACGAGGAAGAGCCTTTTGTTGAAAACCGCGGAAGTTACCCGGAAGACACTGAGTCTGAGACACTTAGTTTCCAGGAGGCGGAAGTAGGAAGGGTGCCTGATGACTACGAGTATGCGGATGAGGACTCCGAAAGCTATCCGGACACCGTGCAATATGCTGGAGCTCCACACTCGCGTTCAGGAACACAATCTGGAGGTAATATTAATATGGAGGAGGCAGTTTCCAACAAAGCTTCCATTCCATGTCCATCGAAAGTTCCGGAATTCGGAACTTTTTTGTGCCGATTTCTCCCACTCTACACTGAAAAAAAAAACACATTGGATCTAGAGTCCAGACTCTTGAAAACATTGAAAAGAAAATAGACTCTTGATTCAATCGGATTTAAGCTTGAATCAAAAGGAAATCCGCTCAAATTAAGAGGCTTGGTTCTTGATTTAAGCTTAAATCTGATTGAATCAAGAGTATTTTTTCTTGTCGATGTTTTTAAGAATCTGGACTCTAGATCCAATGTGTTTTTTCCCCCAGTGTATGACCGTCAACACTTCCAGGATGCGTTTTAAATGTTTTTAAAAGTTTCGAGAAAGTTCCGGAAACTACTAAAGATCCGGAACATTTCGGAGATTTCAAAAGTTCCGGGGAAAATTCAGGAAACTCTCAAAAGTTCCGGAATTCGGTACTTGTTCCAGGAAATGGGAGCACTGGTATCCAAGTAGCAGTGATCGCGGTTTGATCGGAGAATGAATCGCGATTTTACCAACGTTAATTCATTGCAATACACTGAAAAAAAATTCTCGGCGTTTTTACCAAGGTCCGTTGGTACCTTTACTATCTCAATTTTTTTACCAATTATTGGTAATTTTACCAAGACAGACTGGTAAACTCACCTAAAAACCGGTATTTTTACTGTTTTTTCAGGTAAGAATACCACTTTTATTGGTAATCAATTAACGGTAACTTTGCTATTTTATCTCGGTAATTCTACCACGGTCTATAAAAAATATTGGCATTTTTACCAAGGTCCAGTAAAATTACCGAGAAAGTTCAATAATTTTACAGAGACTTATCGGTAAAATTACCAATTCCATAAATGGTAATTTTACCAAGAAAAAATGGGATCAAAATAGAACCCTGAATTCTTGGTAAGTTTCCCTTTTCTTAGTAAATACACCGAGATTTTTTTTCCAGTGTATATTGCAATGAATGAGAAAAAAAAATGGGTCATATGAACCGAATGCACAGTGCTCAATATCGGCTGTATTGTTCGGGTCATGCGACCCCTCCCTTGGTTTTGGGGACCGTATCCCAGGTTCACGCAACCGAGCTTTTCCGTTAGTTCTGTTCGATCTGAATGCTCGGTTGCACGAACCAAGGATACGGTTCCCAGGACTGAGAGGGCGGTTACACGAACCAAACAGCCGATATTGAACACTACACTTTCAGTTCATACACTGGAAAAAAAACCGCTTGGGTCTAGAGTCCAGACTCTTGAAAACAATGACAAGAAAAAATATTCATGATTCAATCGAATTTTTGCTTAAATCAAGAACCCAGCCTCTTAAATTAAGCGGATTTCCTTTTGATTCAAGTAAAAATCCGATTGAATCAAGAGTATATTTTTTTGTCATTGTTTTCAAGAGTCTGGACTCTAGATCCAAGCGGTTTTTTTTCCAGTGTATGACCAAAGTGTCGTCGAGCAGAACATGACGCCAGTTCTCCCATTTACATCACAACTCTGCACACCATGAGTTAGGAGTGTATTTGCGACTCTCCTGATGTGCTCACCGTGATTTTTGAGTCATTTTCTCCATGAAGTAACTTGTCTTTTTGTTCTAGCTTTAGTTTGCTACAGGCCGATCAAATGGGAGAAAAAATGTGTAAGCGCCTCACGAGGGTACCCCCGTGCTATGCACGTGCCGCGCATTTCTCACGCAGATTGTGAAGTTGAGAGTGTTTCTCAGATTTTCCGAATGCGCTCATCATGATTTTTCAGTCATCTATGAGAATCGGCTCTTTTTTTCCTGAGCCTCCTGGCTCTTTTTTTTTCTTTGCATGAAGTTTGCGACAGGTCCATTAGCAAAAGCGCAAAAATTGGACGCATTTCTATCAAACGGAACTATGTGCATTAAGACATGAGCCCTGAGACCCATAGGAATGCACGCATAACAGGGTTCACGTCATAATGCACATAGTTCCGTTTGATAGAAATACGTCTAAATAAAGACCACGCGAGGCGTGCGTCATGGAAAGGATTTTAGACCTCAACGCAGTGGCGAGGCGTGAGATCGATTATCGATATCCCCCCGATTGAAGCCGTGGTAAAGGATCGATTGTTAGAGTGACCGTTGCGAACACCTCGTACATCGATTCTTTTCCATAGGTTTAAATGACAAATCAACCGATTCATCCCAAACCGCGCCGCGCCACTGAGCCTCTCTGCCGTGCTAAGGAAGAACACCGTATGAACATTCGAGAGTTGCCAAATTGCCTTTGATAAAACGTGTATTTGCGACTACATTCATGCATATTTTTCCTTGAAATTTTCAGATATTTTAGATTGAATTGCGTGCAAAATTGTCTGAAAATTTTGGGGGGAAATATTCACAATTTTCCTAATTAAGCCGGTTTTTATTGAAGAAAACTTGGCAACGTCTGATGGCTCATACGGCGTTTCTCCTTAGCACGGCAGCTTTCTGGTATGTCCTACATGAGAATCGTGCGATTCCCCCTGCGGAAAGTATTTTCAGTCACTTAACCGTACCTTTTTCGTGCGACGCACCCATTGTGCCATTATTTTTTTCCCACTAAAATAGGAGGACTGGATCTGGCAGACGAATAATGGCCGGATTGACGTACTTTCAGCATGAATTTTAAAGTGACGGACGTAACGGGAACACGGCGTGATCTCCTCATGATCTCGGTGAAAGGTCTACTGGAATTGCCCTTGTCTCTTATTTGCAAATCCATTAGCCCTTTGCCGTAGTGAGGCAGATTCCTAAAAAAGTCGCTACACTTGAGCAGACTTGGAAGGTAGGAGTGGATTTCTGACTTTTCTAGCGCGCTCTTGATCAAAAGCCACCCACTTTCAAGCCTCGCATAGAGAGAAAAAAACGCGAAAGTTTTCAAGCATTGACGATGAGTAGTTTCCCATTTAAAAAATAAAGTAAGAAAGGAAGTCTACAAGGTTTCAAACCGAGATACGCGGTTTGGTAGTTTCATTGTCGATATGTCCTTGCTCAACACGGATAACGAAAACGAACTATGAAGATGACAAGATTGTAAGCCTACTTTTTGACTTAAAATGTCTCTATTTCCCTTAGTCTATTTGAAAAAAAATGCGTAAATCCAATATTTCAAAACGGAGCCAACGTAAAGGTTTTCCAGCGAAAAATAATTTCAAAGCGCGAAAGTATGTTGTCGGCCCATCCTTTGAATATTCCGGAAAATTTTCAGTCATCCAGCTTGACAAGAAAATCTATTTTTTGCCTTTCCTGTATATTTTGGTTTTCAAGTAATACACCCTTCTATATTTTCGAAGAAAAATCTCGGGGCATATATATGTAAAACGCAGGTGCGGTGTTCTGAATTGGCCGTACTAATCGGTTCACGGAATCGTGCTCTTGGTTCTAGGAACCGTGCATGCAACCGAGCTTTCAAACCAAACCAACGCGTTTGCGTGCGAGAGTATGGTTCCTAGAACTATGACAGTGCGGTTACGAGAACCGAATAATACAGTCTATGCAGAGTCACGCACGTCCGGCTGATACGACAGAAGTTGTTTTTTCAGTGTGTCAAAAACAGAGATGCAAAATAAAACTTAGCGGAATGGAATTTTATTTTGCAGTGGGATTATTTGTTTTTCATGAAATGCATCGATTTTTCAGGGGCTGCGTATGCAACCCGCGACAATTCTCCGAGAGTCCGTTTAGTAACTCCCAAATTCGTCTCAACATTTTTTTTCCCCCCTCAAAATTTTCGAATCCAGATTTCGTTTCTATGCGTTTGACAGCATATTGTGAGTAGAGTGCTTGTATAGGGAAAGTACGGATCGTCGGAATATGAAGCTTTCAGAGCCCAAAATGGCAGTTTACCTTCGAAAACGAAAAATGTCACTGCCGATCTTCAAATACCTATATCAAACCAAGATGGGCCAAGGGTATTTAAAAATGGAGCGTTCTCCCCCAAAAAGGAGTAATTTTATGCAACATCTAATCAAATATGTGTGCTTTACAAACGACGGGTCGTGACAATTTTAATAATAAACTACTTTGGATAGTTTGATCTCATATATTGGTTGCCCTTTTTGGGGCCTAACAGATCCATGACCTAACCTCAAAATTACCGACACGTCCGTACTCTCCCTATACAGGGCGATACAGGGTTAAACGGCCATACTGCAGGAGCGTGTTCTATGGGTCAAAATAAGATTTTTGTTTTAGAAAATTTCTCCCAAAAAACCCCCAGCCGGGGGTTTCAAACAATCCCAAAAAAAAATCTCGGAAGAAAATCGTTTTTCCTGAATTTTGGTAACGGTTGTAAGCCAAATCTCATGACAATATGTACTGGAATGTACTTTTATGCCCTGAAATCATAAATGATCTAAAAAAAATCGAAACCTCAATTAAAGGAGGGGGTTTTGGGGGTGTTTTGGCTCCTGCTGTCTAGCCGTTTAACCTTGAATCACCCTGTATAGATGCTCTAAGTGTGATGAGTCGATTGCAGAAGTTTAGGAAAATTCAATGAAATTTCAGCGTTTAAAGGTCCATAAAATCTGGCATCGCTGACCAGAAATGGATCCTCGTCGTATTTTGTTCCGAACAACAAATTGTCTCTGTTCTTTTTTCTTGTGTAATTCAGAACAACCAATGAGAGAGCGCATTCCAATTTTAGGATAGAAAACAGCGTTGTCTTGGGCAACAGTAGGTATAAAAACGACTAGCACGTTGCAGTCGTTGTACAACGATGTTGCTTCAGTGGTTCCCAAGTTATGTGCGCGAAAATAAGTCCCACTCCCACAACACAAAACGCAGCTGCGAACAAAATGCGACTGTTGCTTGATTTCGCAACATGTTGCGAATGTTGTCTCCGAACAAAATACGACTTTTTTTATCATGGAAAATTGAGTCGTGTTTTGTTCGAAACACCAAAATGTTTCCTTTTTTTCTTGCTTTTTTTACGCGATTCTGAACAACCAATGAGAGAGCAACTTTCAATTTTAGGTCAGTAAAAAGCGTTGCTTTTCTCAACAACATAAACACGACTTGCTTTAAGCACGTTGCAGTTGTTGTACAACAATGTTGCTGTAGGGGCTCCCAAATTTTGCGCGCAAGAATAAGCCTCGCCCCCAAAACACAAAATAACTTCGAACAAAATGCGATTGTTGCTTGTTTTCACAACACGATGCGAGTGTTTTTTTTTTTTTTTTTTTAGTTTTGAAATGTTTTATTGAGATCAATTTCAGAACGATTTATACATTTATAAATTTAAGAATGTTATCTTAAAATACAGTTTTAATCTCAGACGAGGAGACTATATACTGATAAGAACTACTGCTCTGAGAGCGAGATGTCAATAGACAATACAAATTAAATAATGATACAGCTTATCAATAAGACAAAAATATGACTCTTGTTGCTTGTTTTCGCAACATGTTGCGAGTGTTGTCTCTAGAGTACCTGTATAGGGAGAGTACCGACAGATCTGAAACTCGGAAAGTCCATCAGGCCTTCACCGATGCCTCCGCGAATAAAGTTAGGGCCCAAAAGGGCAGCCAACCTATGAATTTCAATTATCCAGAGCGATTTACTGATACTATTGTTACGAACCGTCCTTTATTAAGCACGTGTTTGACTCAGTTTTTGCATAAATTTACTCAATTTCGCGGAAGAACGCTCATTTCTGTACATTCTTGGCCATCTTGGTTAGAATTGGACGTATTTCTATCAAACGGAACTATGTGCATTATGACGTAAGCCTTGTTATGCGTGTGTCCTAATGGGTCTCAGGGTCTCAGGGCTCATGTCTTAATGCACATAGTTCCGTTTGATAGAAATACGTCCAATTGGAATCTGCAGACTGGCAGTGAAATTTTGTGCGTTAGAAGTTGGTTAGAAGGGTGGCTGCACTTTTGGGCCTAAGCCCTCCATGAACCGATCTGTCGGTACTCTCCCTTTACAGGTACTCTACCCTGGTAGCACAGCTCGGATCGGTAAGGTTTTAGAAACATTCCACTTGTGTCGAAGTGTCGAAACTGATTCATCTCGATGAAACATATTAGAAACATTTCAGAAATGTTTCAAGGACGCAAATACTTTGAACATTTCATTGAAACATATCCAAAACATTTTGAAAATGTTTTCAAATTGGATACATTTAACACAACAGAAATGTTTTGAAAACCAATCCAAAACATTTTACAAAAGAAAAATTTGGAGGGGAAATGAAATGTTTTAAAAACATTTTGAAGACAAAGTTGCGAGTCATGTAAAATATTTCATCAGAGACAACATGTTTTGAACACAGTTTAAAAATATTTTCATTTCATCTTACAGAAACGTGAAAACAATGTTTTTAAAATGTGTTCAAAATGTTTTCAAATTGTTCTACTATCACTTTTTAAAAACGTTTTCAACACATCTCCAACATGTTCTCAGATACTTCTAATTTCGAAGTGTTTGGTGAAATGTTTTGGAAATATTCTGAAAATGTTTCAAAT